TATATACCTCACTCTCGCCTTTCCCGCTACGGATTTCTGAACAACTTGACAGTACCCTTAAAGTAATGAATGCACGTATCAATGGCTGATAGCCGTGGTCGAAAGATCTGAAGAGTTCGAGTCACTCTCACATGCTCTATTATTGCCCACCAAGTTTGCAGTTAAGAAAGTAATGCAAGCGTAAATAAATAAATACTAAAAAGGGTAACGCTGGCATTTCATCGCAAATCAAAGAAATTTTCTTTGTTCTTCACAAAAACTTAGCTCAAAACCTCACCATAAAGCCCGCACTAGGTCCTAGAGATCTCGTTTCCCTAGAATTCCAGACCACAATTCCCCGTTCCATCAATCCATCATGTTTTAGTGTGCTGACAGCTATCAGGTTCGTGATACGTATATCACTTCCTTGTTGACTATCTTTGATTCTTGAACCAATTGTCTCGTAGCCCACGTTCTGATCTGACGTCAGGATCACTTTACTGCCGAAAAAACCTAACAATGTTTCGACCCTTTCGCTCGGTTTATCGCATTGATGAAACCTGCTACTAGCAAACTGGTGCTATGTGTTCTAATATTACGGGGCAGAAGTAGTGTGACGGCACGTGGCGCCTTTTACCACGGATCAGGGGTCAGGGATCAAATGTTGGACCGTACGTGCGCCGTCTCCGAGGTCGGCCAAGACTTGTCTAAGAGGATAAAAACACTGATCTTGCACATCGACTGGCCCTTGCAGGCCACTGTATGGACCAAATCGCATTCAAGATGCTCCTACAATTCTGAATGAAGGTAGAGTGCGTGCGCATCAGAAAAGGGCCTGATCAACATCGATATTTCGCGCTTAATCTTTTTTTATTATTGTACAGATATAGTTGAGAGTGTTATCGTATTGTACTTGTGTGGCTGTTCGGCCAGTACAGGTACTGCTCGCCTTTTTTTCGCCACGTGTGTTTTAATTACAGTTAATTTTAATTATGCGTTGTACTGCGTTGTACAAAGGTAGCCTACAAGTTTCTTAAGAACGGAATACGCGGTTATTGGGTAGGTTACTAAGGTATCATTGAGAAGGGTTACTGCACAAGCAGCGAGTAGACGATTATTGAGCAGGAGCCAAGTTATTGCGCACGGTGAGGACGAATTCGATCTTATATCGCTTCTCTCTTTATTACGGTGGTGACTCCTCGACCGCACCAAGAATGACAACATAGCGCAGCCGTGAAAGTATGTGAAGAGTATCAGCCTGAAAATTAGAAAAACCCATAGGAAAGTACAATCAAGCTCCCAAACTATATCGATGGATAGCGTATCTATAACTTGACTAAAATGAACCTATCCAAGGGCATTCATGCATGCATAAATAAATTGCAGAATAAATGAAGACAAATCTCAAAAAGAAACTGTGCCTTTAATGGGGAGAGAGGGACCATCAGCAATCTACATACAAATACCCCAACAATGCTGAGTTATGGACAAAATGTTCGACTTGAGCAGGACCTACACCCTGGTTGATTCTGTGTAAACGTGCATTTCGAAGAGGCTTACAGCAGCTTCTTATTTCGCTACTGACTAACAGCATGGAAAGCTCTATCAGGGTGGCTACTAAATATGCGGCATGGTTTATTGACCATATCTTGCGACATAGAAGACTATTACATTCAGATAACTTAAATGTTTATATACAGTAAACATATCCACGCATCACTGAAGAAGGTGCTCGAAATGGCCTCCCTCGGCAGTGATACAGGCTTCAAGTCTCTTCTCAACTGACATCACCGTGGGCCGCAAGTAAGTGACGTCAACGTAACGCGAGAAGATCATCACACTGGACTTGGCGCACAATTCTCAAAAGGACAGGCAATTGTTGGATTCTGCTAGCAGGCATCCTGCTCGACGTCGTGCGCACACAAGGAGCCGATTTCCAAAATCTGTCATGATTTAGGCAGGAATTACTTCCGACACCGAGACACCGTTTGTCTTTGTGGACAAATCCGTCAAAATTAACGCCCAGATCTACCAGGAAACAATTTTACGTGATGTGCTCGTTCCATGGACTGTTTCGACCTCCAGCAAATGTCAGTGCCTTCTTCAGCAAGACTAGGCTCCTCCCCATGCCGCAAAATCTACGCTGGTGTTCTGTGACCGCCATTTTCCAGGTTACTGGTCACCAGATGTTTGGCCATCTAACTCACCCGATTGTACCCAATGGATTTTGCGGTGTGGGGCTTCCTGCAGCAGAAGATGCCTTCTAGGCAACATCGAAGTTTGGACTTCCTGAAGGCTTCCTAGGAGGAAGCGTTGAAGTAACTCGACGAAAACTGCTTGCGGCCCACGGTGATGTCAGTTGAGAAGAGACTTGAAGCCTGTATCGCCGCCGGAGGACTTCTTTCCGAGCATCTTCTCTAGTAATGAATTGTTATGTTCTACTGTATAAAAGAAACCTCTGAAGATTTAATAGATTCTCTTTTTGGAAATATGGTCAATTAACCATGCGCCAATATTTAGTAGCCACCCTGTATGCGGGGTCAAGCTCCGTACAAGGTCGCACAATTTGCCAACAGCACTCGTGAGAAAGTCTCGCATCTGCGATAATGGCGTAACAAACCATGCAGTCAACACAACTAACCAAAAAGCACACTTGCCAATAATAAGTGGCCGTTTCGCAGTGCTATCAGATACCCATCATGGTGATTTTGCCAGGGCTCACAACTTTCAACAGTTTTGCTGCGTTCAACCGGGTAGCCTCCTAGGGAAAGCCACAGGGAGACGACAATATCTTAAAGGCAGCGATTACGATAGGTTCAGAAGGGGGCGCAATGCAGTCAAAATCGAATGCTCAGTAACCAGTGCTTCTGATCTTTCGTCGTGGAAGCGCTACAACTCGTTCCCTTGACAGCCACGTAAGTGCTACCTTGGTGCATATGCATCCCTATGCGCTCCTTCTTTACTGTAATCGCTTTCTTTTAGTTTAGCAAGAAGGAAACGCGGCGAAGAATTAAAAGAGTACTGCTTTGTTTTCGTCTACCTTCTATTAGGTACCACTCGAGTCGAAAAATACGAAATGTTAGTTCTTCGGTTGGCGGAGTAATGCGAATAGGTCGGATAAATTATAAATGAATGCCAGCATGACTAAGAATGTCTTCCTGTTTTTTCGACCAATACAACTTATTCGCTTGACAGTGTGTACGTGCTACGTCGGTTGCTTCATGTGACGTCAAGTGGCGGCCTATATAAGGTGCTTCTTCCGCCCACTCGCCGCCGCACAACGCCATGATTGTCACGCCGATTCTTGTTCTTCTCGTAATTTCTTACACAGTTTCAGCACAAGGTCAGTTCCCTTCCTCTATGAACCTTCTTCTTGATAGAACAACTGGCCAAGGTCAAAATGGTTATCGAACTGGACAGCTATTAAAGATGAAAATTGGTGCTTTTACCTGCCATTTAATCTTTTTTCTTCTGAGATGTGCCATGGATCCACCCTCTAGACTGCATTGGCTCTTTATTGAACGTGTGAATGAAATATCATTCGTTTATGAACCTAGTGGACTTTCTCTTCGAAAAATGATCTGGCTGCTATCTACGAAGATCACTATGTCATTCACACAAATATTTGTACTAAAGAACCAAAGAAGAAGATTCGCCATAAAGTTCTTTTCTTTGCTCTTTGAGCTCGGCTCAGAACTATGAAGGCATAGCGCTCAAAAGAAGCGATCACCCTGCCACCGGAAGTGGGTCTCGGCGCCTTATTACGGAGGTAAGCAAACCAGCCCTTTTGGCGTTTCGGCTGGGACCGTATGCTGAATGTTGGGGAGGGGATGGGGTCCCCAACGGTCGACGGTTTACTTCAACTCGGTTGGTACGATAGGAGAGTACTGACGCAAGTGGTGCAGCTGGTCCAGCAGCAGAAGGGCTGGTTTGCTCACCCCAGGACTAAGCCTTGGAGAGGGGACGGACCCGTCCTCTCTTTAAGGCTTAGTTCTGAGGTAAGCACCAAATTGTGGCGGTTCTAAGGACCGAGTTGAAGTGGTCCGTCCACCGTCGGGGACTCCATCCCCCCCCAACATTCAGCATACGGTCCCAGCCGAAGCGCCAAAAGGGCTGGTTTTCTGTGTGTTCGTATCTGTTCTGCTTATTACGCCTTGTATTAAGCGCTACTCGCGCTGAAGCGGGTCACCGGTCGTCCCATTTGCGTTGTTTATTATCCTCTGTGTGTGTTCTACCCATTCGTCTGATGTCACGTTTCTCCCATATCTCATAGGAAGTGTTCCGGACACTTCCTTTCATGTTAAGCAATCTGTGCAAGAACTGCTTCGCTAGAGTAGTTATTATTGAGTCTTTCGAAGCATTACATCGAAATCTTTTCGATGTTTAACAACATCGATTCTTACCCTTACAAAACGAAATTCCGACACTAACCGTTTCCTACTGTCCCTCTTTTCGGAATGTTCATGAGCGTGCTGTCCCAGAAAGTGTATTGTCCTGCGGGGAAATTTGCTCTGGAGAATGTAGACGTTGGTGGAGATTCATTTACCCGCCGATTATGCGAATGGGGGAATACCACGTGGCGGAAGGATGGAGCACAGTTCTCTATAGATATCTTTCCCACCCGAGTTGAGACCTATGGCTCCCATTTTCATGTCACGAACTTCGACGACTACCAGAATTTCCAGTGTAGCGATTCTATTTACAGGGCACCACGTTTGGGTTGGTGGGACGACGTGTCTATATTGTGTAGATCGATAATTTAATTAGCGAGGAGGTGGGGTTGGTCGAGGTAGCGGGGCGGCGGACAGTATCGAGTTTTTTCATCAGAAGTCATATTTCATGAACTATTGGTCTCTATACGAAGTTATTACGGCTTGATATCAATGACTACGTAATGATGAAGAAGAAGGCAAATTCTTGTAGTCTTTCGATAACTCTCTTTCTTCCCAACAGAGAGATCGGATCGTGATCTTAATGAACTGACCGTCAAGTGACAAAGTGATTCATAATCGCGTTTTCAGGGTGGCGGTGATGGCGGTTCAACGGGCGTAAATTGGGGTGGTAATCAGGGAGGCCAAGGTGAGTATCAAATTCTGCTTTCAGAGATGATTTTCTCGTTATTCGTCTATTTTACGAATTGTTATTTCTAGGAGGTTTCGGCGGCCAAAGTGGAGGAAGTCAGCAAGGCGGCGACTGGGGCGGACAGAGCGGAGGAGGACAGCAAGGTGGAAGTTGGGGAGGCAGCGGCTCAGGTGCGAATGTATTATACTTCATTTTACAGTCTAGAAATCATACTGCTGGTAGCAGTGGTAGCAGTGGTGCCAAATCTCTACTTATCAAGATGTTAAAGATGTTTCAAGGTTTGATGAAAATTCAGCAGATTTGTACTTTCATGTTTTTTGTGGAGTGGACCCAGAATAACAACGTCGACATCTTGGAAGATGATAATACCGGAGGCAACCTAATATTTATTCAATTCATTTGTCTATTTATTTCAATTGATTTGTCTATACATAGTCTATTGACCACCTTAGTTATAGTATTTACGTAGTTGAAAAAAGAATACTATTGAAGGTATGGCAGAAACGAGTTGACGGGTTTCAAATTGAACGCCTTGACTAGGTCCTTCTTTTTATGGGCAGTGGAGGGGTCTGGGGAATGAACAGTTCAAGGATATTGGCGCTGAGAGAACAGAACTAAAAAATGAGAATGGGAGACGCCGAAGAGAAAGCATGGAGGGGTGCATGAGGCAGATACCGCAACGGTGGGCGTGTGGTGACCTATGGGGATGCGTAGACCTGGGTGATAAGCCCCTTTCGCCCTTCCGTCAAAAGTTCAATTGAGCCTCCCAAGCGCGAAGTCGCTCACAGTTTGGTCCGCTAAATTCAGTGTGGCAGAATTTGAGGCGATAGAATTGATTCTGCAGAACGTAGAGGTGATTCTTATTAACAAACATGGCGTAACTGTCTGGATGTCCCTTTCACTAAACGGTGGTTTTCATACAATTTTGTGAACTCATCCTCGTCATTGGTTCCCCACTTCTTTGTGCCTGGGTAACTCATCAACTCCTGTGTTTTTGAATCAGCGGAGTGTGTTCATACATTACTAACCATAACACAAATCCTATTTGGAAGGCTACGGAATTGTTCACATGTCTTCATGTTCATAACATAAATTTTCTCAAAACTTGATTTCCTAGCCACGGCAGTGCAGAGGATTAATTGTGTTTTTCTTTCCGAAGGACTATTCTCCATTGCGCTATGCACAAAACATAAATCACTCTTTCGCTGCGAGAACTTGATTCCACTGCCCAGACTCACAAGAGATCAAACGCAAGCTCCGCAATCTGAAGAGACCAGCTAACATTGCATCGACCCTTACGATAATTTCAGGTTTCATAAACTCTTCGAATTTTATAAGATCAATCTTCGGTGAAAGATTGTAGGATTTTTTATTCAACTTCCTTTTTTATTACATTTATGTAGTGGCATTTGTTTTTAGTGTCTCAATGTCGGCAACTTAGCACTTTTTGAATGCTGCTTATGGTTAGCATTTTTTCAGACCTTTTGAGAAACAGGCTCTCTACTCTATACTTTGTCGTGTTGATTTAAACAACAGTTTCTCGAGAAAATAATTCTGTGAATTAGAAAGCCACTTAAAATAGTATTTTAGGCTCCGGAGGTTCAGGAGGATGGGGACGCGAAGGTGGTTCTGGTGGCTCAGGAGGTGACCGAGGAGGAAGCTCAGGAGGACAAGGTGGTTGGGGAGGCGACCAAGGAGAACAAGGTGGCCGAGGAGGTGATCGAGGAGGCCAAGGAAGTTCAGGAGGTGACCGCGGACAAGGCGGTTGGGGAGGAGATCGAGGATCAAGCGGTGGAAGAGGTAAGCATCCTTTGAGCTTATTCAGTGTCGGTCTATAAAGTGTAAGTGCCTTAAGGTGATGGCCCAAGGAGGCTGGAGCGGCAAGTGACC